CGATTTCTGCCGATTACTAATGAGTCGAAGAGCGAAGCGTAACTGAACTAGTGCATGATCCAACTCAACGCAAGTGATCCAATAGGATCTGCAATTTTGTACAGAACCACGGCAACGGTAACTTACAGCTATGTGGTCAATTTGGGTCGATGTGCCCGTTGAACTAGAACACCATGTAGCCGTTTGACGAGAGCTGTGTTGAACGTTGGTGCTAGATAAGAACGGTCGGTGATCCGTGCAGAACTGAAGACGTTGATCACCGTTGTCTGTTCGCTGGGCGAGGAGGGAGAAGTGCCCTACTAGACAGGCTTCGGATGAGCTCAGTTTTTCAACCTACGCGTTAAACTCACCTACCAGCACCATAATATCCGAGTTACGGCTCACCCGAATCATTTCGGCGAGTTTCTCGTAAAATTTGTTCTTTTGTGAAGCGGGACTGCAGTTGGTTGGTGCATACGCGTAAATGATGAACAAACACCTTTTGGTGTTGCTATCCCTTTGAACACTAACCGAACCCTGCCGCCTCATTGCGCACAAACAATTATTGACGGATATCCAATCTATCATAGAGGCCTCAGCTTTATCGTTTAGTACGATACCCACACCACGCTGACCCAGTGAGCAGGCTTTGTCGTCTCCTGATGTGCGAAGGAAATACCTTGAGGACATAACTGGTGCACTCAAGTGGCTTACAATACTTGGTTCCTGAAGTCGTGTCTCCGATACGCAACAGACATCGATTTCTAGAGACTTCATTGTACGCGAAAGACATGCCTGTTGACACACCTGCATAAGAATCCTCACGTTGAAAGCCCCCCGATCGAGGAGTTGACGAGGCTTCCGAATCTGCACTTTATTTATAGGAAAACTAGTTACAATGCTATTTGGCAACAATCTTTGGCGGGTGACGACCAAGTTGTCTGAGGGAGTTTTCCGGTTAAGAAAAAGGGGTAAATGGAGAGGGCTGAATGTTGAAGACAAAGAGTTAAACGAAGGTTGGGATATCTGAGCAGTAGCTCACTTATCACTACCCATCCCGCTCGATGCAATGGGCAACGCGATGACCGGTACAGGATGAAATTATTTTTTGTTTGTGTGTTCATTGGAGCTTTATGGACGGGTACTGCCTGGGTGTCCAGCCACTAAGCAGGAGAACGATTAGGGTTCTCAGCCAACGCCTTTGGTTCTGACAAGAACCACATGGCAGCGGTTAGGGCGGATTAGAGGCCCATGAACTTGGATCAAGTATTCCTCCAACACGTTTTATCGACTGAGACGCCGACTCGAGTCGAACCCCCAACCTGGAGGACCAGGAGACTGGACTCTCCTTAGTAGCGCGTTGGATTAGAGATGTGCAGAAGCCAACGAACCATGGTAAGGTGCTGTCTCGTCGTGCGCGAATACAAGGGAATATAATATAGTATCACCAACGGTTGCCAATGGGCCCTCGAAGCAGATTGCCCTTGCTCACCCATATACCGGAGGACTTACTGAACACTGGACGACAATCAAGGTAGCGGGCCAAACGTTGATCGAAGCAATGGCACTTTCTGGCGCAAGACCTAATAAAAAACGGTGAAACTCGCCGACCTCGGTTGCTTTACTGGACGCTCGCAAAGCCATTCCTTCGGATTCAAAATATGACAAAGCGCGCAAATCCCTTAAACGCCAGCCCATCAAGAGTCTCAGGACTGAGCGCGAGAAGTGGTGGGTAGGAAAGTGTACACAAATGGAGAAGGCTGCGACTATCGGTAATAGTCGCAATGTTTTCCGATTAATTAGGAGTACAGGTCCGAGGAAAGTAGGTGTGAGTGAGGTAATTAGGAAGTCCGACCTCGAACTAATCCATATTCAGCAACGCCGTCTAGATGGACGGGCAGACCATTTTAAGGCACAGTTCTGCGGGCCTCGTCGACACAAGACTTCCCCCTGCCCACTCTCTCAGTCGGGGTTTTCATAACCTTATGACAAGTTTTAGCCTGACCACCCTTCGCATTTTTTCCATCCACAACTTGCCCCGGCAAACAGTGCATGTTCTGGCCAAACGCATAGAGATTTGATGAGTCAATTGCCTTGATGGAGAAAAGATAACGAATCCCGACTGACCAGCCTGCTTTTTTGCTAGTGGTCCTGTTGAGACAATATTTGCGATATTTGCTGGTTCGTATCCAAATGAAACCAATAAAAAGCATTGTTTCAAACGTGATTTTCGTTCGAACGAAATTTTAAGCACGTTTGTTTTTACCTCATATATAAACACAAATTTGAACGCCGGAATTGGAAGTTGCGAAAATAAGCTTCTTCGTTGTGTTGTTTGTCTTTTGATATCCCTTTGCGAATTTTTCCATGGACCTTTCAATTCTTCCTGGGGTTCACAGGGCTTTTCAATCAAATGGGCGTATCTTTCACCAACAACTTGATTATTTATTTCTGTCATGTTTCAGATGTATCATTCTCCCAGTCTTTATTGCTCTCATTTGGATTCATTACTATCTCAAGAGGACGTCACTCTTGATGATGTCCTCGCCGATCCGAATGTAGTGGACGAATGCAAAGCGGAAAATAAATCTCTACTGGCATTGTACGCGTTCGTTTATGCTCATCTCTTGCACCATTGTGTACATTTAGCATCACTCAGTCACACTATTTAAAACAGTTGGTCGAACACAGTGTCTGCGGTCCGGATCAAACAGTCCCCGTTACGGATCAGTTTCGGTAAGTTTTAAATTTGTTCGCATTAACTGGTCAACCTTCATCCCTTTTCTCTCTGTCTCCATAGACGGTGTCATGTGGCATCTGAACTGCTCAGTTCTGGCGTACCACGGGTCAGTTTTGCCCTACTACGCGATCCGGACTCGTTGGATGTGCTGTACGATCGTCTGCACGATCGCGGCTTGACGCATTTATCGGCCAGTTTTGTATACAGAATAATCTCCTCCCTTATTCAATGTAGCAGTGATGAGGTAACAAACCGTCCTGCAGTACCCTTTTCAACGACTCCCGTTCTTTCTATTATAGATGCACAAGTATTTCGCCGAGAAAACGGATTTGTCTGAATGCATTCTAGCCAATATAGACAAACCGTCCATCTTAGATTTATTTTACAATTTAGTTCAATCCCCAACAAATCCGGAGATCAGTTTGGTGGGTTTCAGATTTTTTGGTTAGTTTATTATTCCTTTTATTTCGTGAAGCAACTTTCCGATTCAACACTGGTCTCAGATCTTATCGGTTTGCTCTCCGTGGAACAACCTGACGAGGTGAGTTTCTGTCTTGTGAGCAGTGTGCTAGTCTTGGCTGCTCTCTGTGTCAGTTCATCACGACAATCAGAATTTAACTGCCAGAAAGCAATGAACTGGATTGTGAGAAGAAATGCAAATGTGCACACCACTTGGTCATATAAACTTGGATGGGGTGCATTGTAGGTGTCCTGATGCTAGTGTTTTCACTTCGTGCCACGAAAAAATATGATGTTTCAAAACCCATCTGCGAACATCTTACAGGCAGTTGTAAAAGTGATGTCCTCATTGGTTTCTGATGCATTAGTTGCAACGAAATTATCGATAAGTTTTGTGCGAACTTCCGGAATCGTCTTAGTGCCATTCATTGGGATATCGGATAGCAAGCGATGAAATAGGCTTGGTTTTTTCCACTCACGATTTGTGTCCCTCAATGGTGTGTGTTGTTAAACATGCAACAATCAGCAGGTCTTTTCTCTTGACAATTCAGTAGCTTTGATTGTTAGAGTTCAACAAACAATCTTTCACCAAGCAGATAGTTTCCACGTGATACGCATAGTTATATATATATATATATATATATATATATATAACTATGCGTATCACGTGGAAACTATCTGCTTGGTGAAAGATTGTTTGTTGAACTCTAACANTGTTAGAGTTCAACAAACAATCTTTCACCAAGCAGATAGTTTCCACGTGATACGCATAGTTATATATATATATATATATATATATATATATTATATATATCACGACTGAGTTCAGATTGCGTGCCAAATAAATCACGTTACAATAATCTTAATGAAAAGAGAAAGGTCCGCGATTTGCTCGAGAGCATGTTAGTTTGTCCCGGCCAAAGTAGGTGAATTTTCCTAGGGAATTTACAACCGGAGTGTTCGGCTAACGGTAGCCTCACCCGCATCGCAGCGAATCGGTGTGTGTAAACCGCAATCCATTGAGGACCGGTGTCCAATTGATCGGGTCATACGCCCTTCAAACGGGGTCAAGCGTCCAAGGTGCCCAATCGAGTCGGTGACCACCACCACAACCAGGAGTGTGTGGTTCGTGAACAGGTTTGTTCGTCAACTACCTTCGGTGAACTGTTAGTGGTTCTCCGACTCGGATGTTGGCTTTTTTTCACTTTGGTGTAAAATCACTTCCGTCACGGGAAGGTACTGAGTCTGGCTTCCCTAGTAGAGGTTATTTGAGACGCTTGGTCGTAGAGGAGCATTTTATGTGATGTAAGACAAATATAACCAGTCATCTAAGGCATTTGGAGACGCGCTGTCTCTTATAAGCAATCCTTTTCATCAACCAGTTAGGCCAATCTGGTGACATGAAATGAAGGTTCCTTAAGGTGAAGCCCAGCACTAGATAGGCTTATGGTATTAGTTGCTTTTGTTTAGGTTTGTGCCAGAATTGAAAAATATGTGGTGATTTACATTTTTTTCGAATATTAAGACCTTTGAACCCGATCACATATCAACGCGATTTAAAACTACCAGTTACTGTGTTGAGTGATAGTTATGTTTCGGGGGGCATGAACTTCCTTTATGCCCGTCCCTGATCAAGTTTGCTTGAAAAATGTATATTTCTTTCCTGTTTGTTGTGCTAGTAGAGTACGGAGCATTTTTCTCTCACATCCATCCAATCAGACCCACGCGTCCGTGATACAATGCCTCTGTGGCCTGCTCGCCTCTTCGCGTGCTTCTCTTTTTCCTCTGTCCGATATGTACATGACGCGCCGGAATCGACTGCAGGAAAAGTTGGAGAGGTGAGTGTGCGTGTGTTTGGTAAATGTCATTCATCCATAGGGTGGTTTCTAATCGAAAGAATGAATTTCAGGTCAGTATATATATATATATATATATATATATATATATATATATATATACTGACCTGAAATTCATTCTTTCGATTAGAAACCACCCTATG